CCAGCCCCCCCCTTTTTTTTTGCCAGTCCTGGGGTTTGAACTCAGGACCTGCGCACTGTCCCTGAGCTTCTTTTGCTCAAGGCTAGCGCTCTACCACTTGAGCCACAGCGCCACTTCTGGCTTTTTCTGTTTATGTGGTACTGAGGAATCGAACCCAGGGCTTCATGTCATTCATGCTAGGCAAGCACTCTCCACAAAGCTACCTTCCCAGCCCCTCCATGAGATTCTTATCTCCAATTAACCACCAAAAAGCCAATTGTAGAGTGCCAGCCTTGAGTAAATGACAAAGAGACAGCATCCAAGTCCTGGATTCGAGCCCTGGTACAAGCACAAAAGGAAAGAAAAGAAAAGGAAAGGGTAACATTGATCAAGATTCATTATACTGGCCAGGTGCCAGTGACTCAGGCTTATAATCCTAGCTACCCAGGAAGCTTAGATCTGAGGACTGTAGTTCAAAGCCATTCATGGCAGGAAAGTCCATGAGACTATCTCCAGTTAACCACCAGAAAACTAGAAGTGGTGTTGTAGCTCAAAGTGGTAGAGTGCTAGCCTTGAGCAAAAAAGCTCAGGGACAGTGCCTAGGCGCTGAGTTCAGGGCCATGACCAACAAAAAATCAGAAGCAGAGCTGTGACTCAAGTGGTAGAGCATCAGCCTTGAGTGGAAAAGTTTATAATGCCCAGACCCTGAGTTCAAGCTATAGTTCAAGCACGCAAGCATGCTTGTGCATGCACACACACAATTATTTTACTTATAAACTGATATGTTGAGTGGTGCTGTGGCTCAAGTGCTAGCCTTGAGCAAAAGAAGCTCAGGGACAGTACCCCAGAACCAGAAAAAAAAAGGTTCTTAAACTTTTGGGGAGACTGGGAATATGGCTTAGTGGTAGAGTGCTTGCCTAGCATGCGTGAAGCCCTGAGTTGGATTCCTCAGTACCACATACACAGAAAAAGCTGGAAGTGGTGCTGTGGCTCAAGTGGTAAAGTAGTAGCCTTGAACAAAAGAAGCTCAGAGACAGAGCCTAGGCCCTGAGTTCAAGCCCCAGGATAGAGAGAGAGAAAGAGAGAAAGATTCAAAAAGAGCCAGGAACATCTATATTTGTGTATCTTTTTCTTTTCACCTGACCTGCATCCCCATTTGAAGTTTGACAGGTAAAGGAGGATCATAGCAGTTGCCTCTAATAGGAAGGGCCAGGTGTTCCCAAAGGAAAGAGAAAAGGGAACTTGAACTTGGGCATGGGGGTGGGGGTAGGGGG